GTCTGTCTCTCCCAACAACCACATTACTGAAATATCAATAGCAGGAACCAGAGCAGGAAGGTGACAACTTGTTTCATGCCAGATGACTTTCCGTGGGGTGAAGATGGCCTGGGCAGGTTCTGGGCCACACTCATAAAACCGGCACGGGCGATTCTCAGCAAGTCTTGCCTGGGGAGGTGGAGAAGGGTGGGGGCCTTCATTTTCTCTCCCACGTCAACTCAGGTAGAGTCAGCTTACAAGGAACAGAGAGGTCTTTCTTCCCTATTCCTGGAGGGATTCCTGAAGTTTTGGGCCCAGTTCCCAGTAGCGCGGCCGGCCAGAGAGAAGCTTTATTCGGTTGAGTTCCCAGACGGGAATCAAGACAGATTACAAAATGCAATTGACGTTGGTTTTTTTAAAACAAAATGTTTAAGGGTGTGTGTGTGTGTTAATTTACAGCTATTACGTTCAGAAAAAGACCTTCCTCCTAGGAATAATGTCAGCGGAAATCAGAAAAGATATAAGACCATTGTTTATGTACGGAATGTAATAAACAAAAATCTGTCCTTATTCCCTTATGGGGAACACAAGAGCCCTTATAGAGACCTTTGTAGGTTCTCCATCGGTCGGAGAAAATAACAGAGGCCAACCAGAGAATATTGTGAAGCAAAGCAGCTGGTAAGCCTGATCTTTATTGAACTGTTGCAACAGGGTGCCCCCTTCACACGCAGGAAAGGAGGAGGACCCAGAACAAAGGTGTGCCCGCCCTTATATAGACATTTTAAATTGCCCGCCCTGGAGTCCAAGACCACCCCCAGAAACATCATACCTACATCACAGAAGGGATGTAGCTCAAGACCACCACCCCAGACACATCACACCTACATCACAGAAAGGGGTGGTCTACAACAGAAATCTGAGTGCATTGTTTATCTCCTGTCTGGCAGGTTACCTGTTAATGGTCACTTGATTGGATACCCTGGGGAGCCTGGCCAGTCTTTTGTAATGATAAATACTTAGTTCCTGAGCCAGGTCACAGGCTCACCCTATTCATACACAGACATACCCTTAAGACAGGATTTGTGAGCAAAAAGACAATGGGGAGGCTTTTCCATTTTCCTTCGACCTTGCAGAGAAATATTTGAGATCAATTTGGGGGAGACAAAATGGTTTCAGGACTTTTTCTGTGGAGTTTCAGACATGTGGTTTATATATACAGTTATGAACATTATATATATAT